TATGACTTAACTCATAAATTCAAATTTAATCAATACGAATCTTAATTTTTTAAAATTTCACCATAAGCCCTATAAATCATGCTAATCATAGACATGAAGACAATTTTTGTTTATCGCGCCTCTAAGGCTTTCAATTTTAGTTCAAAGTTGTAATTGTAACATATATTCCTACGCTCAACAGATATTAATCCAAATTCACATAATTCACATATTTAAACTTGGAAATTCATATCAAACACATAATCACATGCATAATTAAGTAGAGTACGGGTTGGGTTATCACATATTCACACACACACACACACACACACATATCTCCATATGCATATACCTACGTCTATTGTTCTTCTTCATTCTTGGTTGAAGCTTGAAGTAATACACATCCATTGAAGGCTTGAAGGAGCTTGGAAGAGAGTGTATGACTAGCTTGGGCCCTATTTCTACATTACATTGAGGTAATCCTTACTTCCATCTTATATTTCTTTTTATTTTTTATCTCTTTCTCTCTCTCTCTCTCCAAACACTTTATGTATTATTGATATTGAGCTTGTTGATTGGGCCTGAGGTTACTTTGGGGTCCTTGCCACACCCCCTCCTAGATTGTGGATTGTTTCTCTTTCTCTCTACTTTCTTTTACATTTTCCAGCTTGCCAAACACTATTGGTTAACTCATTTTTATTCATTTTGTAGTTAGCCGAGGCGTGTATAACGGATTTTGGCCAAGTGTTGGTTGTTTTGTTTTTTCAATTCATGTTTTCTATCTCTTTCATATCTTTATAGCAATCTAGACATGGCTTCCTCTTTGAAAATAGATTGGATTTTCTCTCTCGAGTCATCTTTTCATTAATTTGGGTAGTTTATACCCATTTTCATGAGTAGGAGAGGTAGAACCTCTTTATTTTCATTTGAGTTCTTGTTATTTCTTCGCTTACTTAGTTTGCTATCTTATTAGAAGCCTAGGCATGGCTTCCTCTATGAAAATTAGTCAGATCGCTTCTTTTGAACCATTGTCACATAAATTTCAGTAGTTTATACCCATTTCCATGAATAGGAAAAGTAAAACCTTCTTATTTTCATTCGAGTTCCTTTATTTCTTGTTATTCTTTCATTGATTTAGATAGCTTATGTGTTTGATTAGCTCTCTCTCTCTCTCTCTCTCCCCTATCTTCTCTCTCTGCTTATCTCTATTTCTTTTTACTTAGACTTTTTTTTCCTTATTCACATGACATTTACATGATTATAGATTAGGTCCATGCATTTGAGTATGATTTATCATGTTTTAGTAGATATTGCTATCATTATGTGATGTTGACTTGTTGAGATGATTTACATGCCATTTTAACAGCAATCAGGCCCATATGATCTATTCCATAAGTGTCATTCGCATTTTATAGAAATTTGTATCTAAGACCATGCATATTTTCTAATTCTTCTCTCTTATTGAGCTTGTCTTGAAGTACTAGGTGAGCATTGTTCGTTTCCTTGCATATCATACTTTAGACTCGTGCATCTAGGATCATGGATACTTTTCTAACCTCTTACGTTCATGGCGTGGTGCAGGGGAGTACTAGGTGAACTTATTCCCTTTCTTTTGCATCTTGTGTGTGTATTTGCTTCCTTACTATGTCAAGCATGCCACCATAAGGCTATTTGCTTATTTACTATATCTTTATGCTTGCCTGCTACTTGGAGAGCATTTTTCCTAAGTTGGGATAGTTCCAATCTTTTTGTGTATGAGTCATCTCCCTTTTTTATGAGATTCTTGTCTTAAAATCCCTTTTGAAACGCAAGAGATTGGAATACTCTAAAGTAGGTGATTTGGTCTATATTCGTTTACTCCATCTAGTAAAAGTTAGCATTAATGATCAGGTTATATAAACATATTGCGGCAATGAGTCTCATATCAATAATTAGTAGAGGCCAGTCTTTGATCGGGTAAGTAGGGGTGCTCAATTCATGACATTTCCCTCTCATACCTACACTTCTGGACTAGATTCTTTGGTTGTGACAGGCAGTGACCTATATTGGTAGGAGTTAGGATTTTCTAGTTTCTCCAAAAAGATTAGATGGTGACTCCATGTCTTAGCATTTCCGATTGATTAGTTAATTTTCAGTAGATACGCTAGATATAGACCCTTGCTTGTTTCACATTGCACCATCTGTGAACCAAATGTGGAGAGGTGAGTTGTCGGGCTCACCGAATACCCTCTGGGAGAACCCACACCCGTTTGTGTGAGAGTTCGCGACTTACCGCTATATGGTTTAGTGGCTCTACTATGTAACACCACTTAACGATGACCTCTGGAGCTTTGACTCCTTAGGGTCTAGCCCAGAGGTCACCTTCTATGGTTAGGCCTTTCTTGGTGTGTGTGTGTTTTCTGTCTCACCAATTTTGATTAAGGCCTCTTTTGGAAAGGCAAAAAAAAAAGAGAGTCAATTTATTGGTTTATTGACTTATTTAAGTTACATCAGCTCTTTATTTTTTTACACGTTTTTTCAAAAAAAGTAAATAAGTCAAAAAAAAAAATTAACTTCCCAAAATAAGCCTTTAAGTGTATCAATTCTAAAAACAATGCTTGATGTTGTTATTATTTACTAACTACATTTCCTTTCTATATATAAAGACTGAGGCCTTGTTTGCCAAGTGAACATTTTAGTCAAAAAGTTAAAAAGTTACTCAAAAAGTCAAAAAGCCTATAACCTATACTAAAAAGTCAAAGATTTCTTTTTCTTTCTACTTTTTGCACATCTTTTCGTAAAAAATCAAAAATTCACCCTAAACATACTAGTCTTTTTTACCTCATATTTTAACCAAAAAATTAAAAAATTACTAATATAACCTGTTCTCAAACGAGGCTTGAATGTTGGGGGACGAAAGTTTCGGCCTTCGTGAAGTTACGGAATTAACCTTATGGTTTTTGTTATTTTGTTTAACTTTTTTTTGGTTTGTCGTTTTTCATACCACCCCTTCCTAATTTGCTTTCTTCTCTCTCCTCAATCCCAATGTCCCATCCCTTTCTTTCCATAATTTCTTCTCCCCTCTGCTCTCCCTCTATCCCAAATGCCTTCTACACCACATACCACTCTTTCATGCTATCTTTCATTTGCTCTCTTCTCTCTCCTCAATCCCAAGGTTCTACATTAGTATCACCAATTTTGTCTAATTAATTATAATTGTGAAAGTCTTTTTCATAAAAAAACCACACACATTAACAACACATTTTATAGTTTTATAAATCAAATTATAAACTTAATCAGTTTAATAATTTATTTGAAATATATAAAATATATATCATTTAATATATATAATCATATTAAAAAGAAAAAAAGAAAAAATCCTTAACCTTCATTTTTTTTTATAATTGTTTTGTTTAACCTTTTTTTTCTTGTTTGGTGTTTTTGTTATTTTGTTTGACCCTCTTTCCCATGTGCCTTTTGCACCATATATCAGGTCTTTTCCCAAATTAAGCCAAATTAGCAACTTATTCCCAAACTAGGCCTAGTTTGGACGAAATTCCCAAACTAGGCTAAAACGTGATTGTGAACCACGTTTTCACCGTTTTTGTAGCTGTCGCGTGGAAATTTTGTGAAATCATAACAGCGTGGTTACAAACCACGCTTTTAATTAAGAAGACGTGGTTGCAAACCACGCTTTTAAGTAAAAATTTTTTTTTGCTGAAAACGTGGTTGTGAACCACGCTTTAACTGTGCTTTTAAATAATTTTTTTTTTCCAGAAAACGTAGTTCACAACCACGCTTTTAAGCGATTTTTTTTGTTGTTGAGAAAACGTGGTTTGGAACCACGCTTCTACTGTTGAGCTTTTGTCCACAATCCATTTTTAAGTAAAAGTGTGGTTCGTAACCACACTTTTAAAACTTATATAAAACTCCCCCAGTCCCCTCATTTGCAACTACGCTTTTTACACTTAGGTTTTTCCACTTCAGGCTCTCTCACTCTCTGCTCTCGCTCCTTCTGCTCTCAGACTCTCTTTCTGCTCTCACACTCTCTCTGCTCTCACTCTCTCTCTCCGTCCGTGGGTTGTATACCATCGCTGGTATGGCGTTTGTCTCTCTCTGTCTCATTTGAATAATATGGGTACAATGTGGGTAGAATAGGGTTTATGAATGTGAAAATGTTGTGAATTGATGAAAATGATAATAGAATAGGGTTTGTGAATGTGAAAATGTTGTGAATTGAAATTGATATCAATGTGGGTAGAATAGGCTTTGTGAATTGAAATTGTGGTTTTGAATTTGTAAAATGTTGAGGTTTTGAATTGTGAAATTTTTTTAGGGTTTTCAATTGAATGTGACATCATAAATTAGGGTTAGGGTTTTGAATTGTGAAATCAGAAATTAGGGTTTTGAATTGTGAGTCTTGTCTATATTTTTTGCATTGTGAATTGTGAATCCTGTCTATATTTTTTGAAATTAGGGTTTTGAATTTTGAATTGTGAATCCTGTCTATATTTTTTGAATTGAAAATTTTAGGCTCTATTTGGTTGTTAATTCAAATCAATTTTCAACACGTGAGATCGCGCATGACATTTGGATACGACATTCAAAAATTGATTCCGCGTGTTAATTCAAATTACATTTTGAAAATCTGTTTGGCAGCTTGTATCTCCCTTTCAACGTTTTTGCCTTCTTCATCGTCTCTGCAACTTTCACGTGAAGCTCATCTACATCAGTTCTTCAGATTCATCACGGGTGGCTTCTCTGTATCAAACATCCGTACTTCAAATTCATCATTCATCTGTTATCTGAAAATGATTTTATCTATTATTGTTTCAGACGAGTCGATAAATGATTTAATTCTTCATCCTGAACTGTTTCAACTTTTTTGTTCTTCAAGAATAGTCAGTAAATCAATCTTCATCTGTTATGTATAAATGATTTCGGAGAAGTTGAAATTAGTTCCTAAATGGTTTATGAGAATTTGTAGAGGCGTATTTTCCATTTCAGATCGGTTGTTCTTTTAAATTATGAACTGTTTGAACCTTTGAACCTGAAACGGCAGTGCCTGGGACACCCGACCGGTCGTCCCCCTGGTCATCCGGCCGGTCCTCCCACCTTGTCTTCCGGCTTTCCATTTCTTCGTTAATGGTTTGAACTGTTTGAACCTTTTCCATTTCTTCGTTAATAGTCATTTTGTATGTCAATCCCACAATTATATGAGCTCAACGAGTACAATAATGCATTGCATTTCTGTTCCTACATATGGACGAAATTCATAACATGTAATAAAAGGAAAAAAAAATTGATAATGTCTTGTAAGATTTACGTTATGATTTGTATTTTAAAATATTAAATTTAGTGTATTTATTCCTTCTTTATTAATATGTATTTTCAAAAGTTGTTGACTTTAACAAAATGTTAGAAAAAAATTAAAAACGTATTTTACAAATGAATTGATAGAAAAATTAATTGGCAGAAAATAATTGACATAGGTTTATTTTAAAATGAAAAAATTATTTTGAAAAAACAATTATTCAAAAAAATTACAAAATAAAAAATTAATTGACAAAAAAAATCAATTTTTAATTTCAGTATTTTAAAAATAGTTTGGTTATTATTGTTGATAAAAAATATGGATATCGATATATGAGTTGTGTGTTTGATGATAAATTATTGGTTGAATTAGGTTTTGAAAACTATTTTCAAAACACATCACCAAACAAATTTTCACCTTTCACATGTCACATCAAACTTTCAAAACTTAATTCAAAATACATCTTCAAAACACAATTCAACACTCTATTTAAAAACCATAACCAAACAAATTTTCTACACTCAAATCACAATTCTACAACCTACAAACTCAAAATACAACTCATACTCTCAAATCACATTTACAAAACACAACCAAACGCAGGCTTATTTTTTGCTTGTTAATCCTGTCTATATGGTTAAATCTTCTTATTCTTTCGCTTATCTGATAAGCTACATCATTAGGTCACTATAACTAGTACAAACAATTTTTTTGGGTTGTTTTAGGAAATATGTTAAAAGCTAATTTTTTGATTTTTTTTTGAAAACGTTTTTTGGAAAAACGTGTAAAAAAAAGTAGAAAAATAATGTGACCCAAAAAAATTAGAAGTCAAAAAATGACTTTTAACCTCTTTGCCAAAAGGGGCCTTTGAAGTCGTCCTCAAAAATGTTATTACGAAAACATTTTATATAAATCAAAAACTTTTGTTTAAAAATTATGTTTGAAAAAATTAAAATTTTTGATTTATAAAATGACTCACTCTCGAGAATTTTTACCCACTTGAACTATCCAATTGACTTATTCCCTATGCGTCTGGATTATGTTTATTCAATTAAACTTTATATTTTTATGATAGTCGGATGTCTGAATCAGTTTACGTATTTCTCGACTAATCTTAGAATACACACCAAACGTCCCATCCACGTAGATCGGACAAATCTCAAATAATACTTATAAACATGATCTCAAGAAATTGATAACACATAATGAGAGTTTAACTTGAGACCTGAAAGGAATACATAATGAGAGCTCATTAATATTAATGAAACTCAAGTTTGACTCGGTTTGGCTCGATAATTTTTTTTTTAATGTTATTTATATTGTTTAAATAAAAATAAATGAGTCAAGCTTGACGAACCGAGCCAAGCCCTTAACAAGCTCAGTCGAGCTTGTTTATGAAAAGTTTGGCACATTTGCAGCCCTATTTGAAACGACTCATGATTGAGGATTCGAGAGAAGTATTTCAAATATCACCATACTTTACTAGAAATAATATAAGATTACTAGTGTATACCCGTGCCTAAAGGCACGGTGTAAATAATGTTAGAATTAGAATATAATTATAATCTTAACACTATTTAAATTTATTTTTTAATTTGATAAAATCACAAATTTATTATAAAAATTTGGAGTTCTTACAAAACTCTTTACGAAAACTTGCTTTTGTTTGTATAATATATAGCTAGATAGATAGATGTGAATATATAATCTATTTCTAATGGTAGGATCTTAACAATATTCGTCCCGTGGATAATTGTAATTAAGGCTATCCCTAGTGTATGCCCGTGCTTAAAGGCACAATGTAAATATTGTTAAGATCAAAATACAGTTGTAATTTATACGTATTATGTTCAAATTTATGGAGTTTGTAACATTTTTTAATAAAAATACTGAAAAAATATAAAAATATATTATTCTTCTTATGGATTAAAATATAAATTATCTAATTTGTTGAAAAAAAAAGAAAAAAATTGAGATCAAATTATATTCAAATGAATTTTATAATTACAGTTAGGTGACGGACAGTAAAACACATGAGCCTAGGATCCCAACACATAAAATAAAATAAAAAAATAAATCTAAAACTCTGCACCACCCACCCATTGTCCTTTCTCGCTCTCTCATTTTCTCATATTTCAAATTTTGAAACACACACTCACTCTGATTGGTTGATAATCAGATAATATTTAATTATCAACCAATCATCTTCTTGACATATCAGTAGACTTATAAAGTAGGCCTAACTTTTCCGCCTGAATAACTATTATTTTCTTTTTGTTTGTAAAAAAGATTTTGTTGCAGTTTAATTTTGTAATATGGTAGGTCTTTTTTTTTTCTTCTTCTTATTCTTCTCTTTTCTTGGGTTGTATTTGGATTTAGAATATGAAGGGAATTTGTTGAGTGAAAGGAAAATGGAACATTAAAAAGTTAACCCTTTTTATTTGATGACTTTTTTTTTTTTTTTGCTTTTAGTGAACTGGTTTTATTTTGGTTTTTTATTGAACTGCTATTTTAAAAAGTTTAGGCTTCTCCGTCTCGAAAAAAATTTGTACTTTATTTAGTTTTTTTTAATTTTGTTTATGAAATTTTTGTTTTTTAAAAAAAAAATATTTACATGTTACATGTTTATGAAGACATTTGAAAAAACTTAAACTTTTATTTTAAAAATTTGTGTTAATAATTTTTTTTATGATTTTTATGAGAGTATTACTAAGAGTGTCATGAAAATTTACCCCCACCAATTATCCCACAAAATGAAATTAAAATAGAAATATAATATCATGAATACAAGTAAACACAAAATCACAACAATGCTGCATTGCATAACAACATTATATTGTACAAGTTCACATTAGAAACATACAAAACTTAATGCACCATCTATTCTAATAGAACATGGAAAATGATAGGGAGAGAAAAACAAATGCATTTTGACAGATAAAACAGAATTTGTTAGTTGAAGAAACAATCTCAAAGCCAAGTGGTTGGTCCAATTAGGGGGCTAATAAAGTTACGACAGGCGAACTGCCGCCTTCAACAGCACAGAAAACAGAACAGGTAGCTCAGTCAAAAGCTTCCTTTAACTAGGGCTCCTCAAATAGTGATCTTCTATGTAAAGAATTTCAATCTCCATCAGGAAAGACGAAAGAGTTGCCTTTCAATTTCTGGAAGTCCAGTCAAAATCATGACTCTGGTAGGGAATGTGGGGTTGACAGAAAACAAAACTTGGGGGGGCAGGACAAACAAGCTCAAAGCCAAGTGATTGGTCCAGTTAGGGGACTAATAAAGTTCAGACAAACGAACTACCGGCTTCAACAACACATAAAATAGAACAGGTAGCTCAGTGAAAAGCTTCCCTTAATTGGGGCTCGTCAAATAATGATCCTCTACGTAAAGAATTTCAATCTCCATCAGGAAAGAAGAAAGAATCGCCTTCCAATTCATGGAAGTCCAGTCAAAATGATGACTCTGGTAAGGAATGGGGGGTTGACAGAAAACTAAACTTGGGGGCTGGACAAACAAGCTCAAAGCCAAGTGGTTGGTCCAGTTGGGGGACTATGTTTAAAACCCAATTGATTTTACTTGATTTGCTTGTCAAAATAACTATTTACAATTAATTATACCCAAACAGATTGTTTTCTACACCTCTTTAAAGAAATTGACGATTCTCTTAGTATAGAATAGCAATCAACGCAAGGTCAAAAATGTAAGAAACTAGACTTGCAACCAGTTCTAACGACGCTGATTTGATATTTTTTGGATTTATACCCAAAGAGAACAACACTTCCGAAATTACTGTTTAATACTAGTTTTCTGGATAGATTTGAATACACCAGTTAATATAGATTTTGACTCCCAAAAATTATGAGAAAAATTTGATATGCAATTCAATATGTAATTAATCAATTGTAAAAATTTCAGTTCAAAATTCATCCGTTTGATAAGGTTTCTTCATTTTTAAAGATTGTGGTTATGTGCAGAATTTCATACTCATAGATTGTACCCTCAACTTTATGTACCCATCTGATATTCCTCAAACAACATAAAATACACATGATATTCACAAACATTGGTGGCCAAGTACTCCTACCTAACCCACGTTTCACTCACAAGATCCACCATTACAAGCAAAAACACTCATGGAATATAACCCATGCCATATATATTGAGTTGTGCATTTCGACTCCTCGGCCATCATGCCTCAGTATGCGTGATTGGTGGCACGAGGATCGATTGTGAGCACACAGCATGACATGGCATTAAGAAGCATATGTTAATGGGATATTCAAGAGCATTGGCTGAGATCATCTTTGCCATTGGTTTAGATGGAGTATGCAAAATATGACTCTTGTTTTGTTTTGTTGGGTATGTGAATGAACCAGGGAACTTGCATTTTTTTTGTATTTTTATTCAAGTGGTGTGTCATTTTTGTTCCAATTCGGGCGATCCAGTCTATACTTATATGTTGTGTGCATCACATAGTAACCTAGGCTAATAACCGGATTAAGGACACACAAAGTTTTCAAAAATATATATCATGGTTAGTAGAGGCCGATCTTTGATCGGGCGAGCGGGGGTGCTCACGAAGTGACCTTCCCCAATCGTACCCAAGTTCCCGAGCCGAGGCAACTTTGGTGATGACGGACACGTGGCCTTAGGCAAACGAGTCAGGGTTTCCTAAATTTCCCAAAATAAAATATTTAGGTGGCGACTCTGTATCTGGCAAAGCAGTCCATGTTTGGCACTTCTTTCAAAAAAATCTGTTTTTCTCAAAACGATTTGCCAGATTTAGACTCTTTTGTTCAGACTTAGAACCGTGACTTTTGAGAGTCCTGAGCTGTAGTGACCCCAAATGAACAGAACGGGAGCTAACCCTCC